CCAAGATTATCACCAGACATAGAATCAAGCAGTAAACAATACTCTAATCAAGGAACTACCAGAGGGGGAAAAATAAAACAAAACAAAACCCACACCCACACCAACACTGGCAGGGCATGCCACAGTATATAAACAGAGAGCAAACCCCATCCCATTCTAGCACTGAAGATGTTACCAAGCCGGGTAATGAAACATTTGCAAGAAAACAACCAAGCTCGGAGAACCCCAAGGACTCCACATTATTAATTCTATTGGCAACAGATTTTGACAGATTTTAGCAAGTATGATAAGATCTTTTACAAAATGACTAATCTATTCTGCCAAGATATCCATGAAAGGGATTTACTATCATATTCCTCACATTTTTGGTAGATTTTGTTCTAATGAAGCAGGATTTTGTCAAAACAGATCTCTGAAGTTATCCAATACACAATAGTCTGAAGCAATACCCCAAGTAAAAGGACATAGGTTGTTCTCATTCTAAATCATGGTTTCAAGTAGGCTTTTTTCAAATGAATCATAGATTATTGTAACCATAATTTTGACAGTTTGGATAAAATGATCAATTATGATTAAAGAAGAGTAGAATCAAAAACTTCTGAACCTTCTCTTGGCCGTATGTTATAATTATGATACACAACTCAAGGAATTCAGTTCTAGGAGAAACAAAACTCAAGAGTGAATACACAACATAAATACATTGTGTTAGTTGTAGCTTGCTACATACTTGACTGTAGTCTGCAGGCCTGGATGGATGATCCAGCTGCATATGAGGGAGAGATACACTTTATGAACTACACAGAGAGTTTGATACCTCAGCTCTCCCTCTCCTGGATATAGAGAAAGTGTGGCCTGTGTAAAATCAGGGTAGCACTATTGGAGAAACCTGTGGAGAGAGGTTGGAAAAGGAAAGGTGGTTTTGCCTATCTCTCCATCAGCCTCAGAATTAACATGGGAATTCCCAACAAGATGGGAAATCCAGGTAACTGAGGCAGAGGGAACACCTATTTCAAGAGTTTTATATTTCTGTAGCGAAGGGTAAAAATGATCTAGCCAAGAATCTGCACTAGGTTTAACTTGTTTTCTGTGTAGAGCTAAAAAAAATGGGGTTTATTGTCAGCTTAATTCTTGTAATTTGTAATAATGATTTGGAATCTTTTCTCAGTATCTTTCTGGAGTTTCTGAGAGATCTGTGACAGACTAATGCCAACTTATATTTTTTGTTTTTGTTTTTTTGTTTATTTATTTTTATTTTAACCAAACTGGCGTTTCATAATTTGGGCAGCTCTGTAATTCATCTTCTACAATGTTGAGTGTATGCATTTTAATATTTAAAAAAATTAATAAGAGTTACATTTTATCTTTTCTTTTTAAAAAATAATTGTTGATTTTATTTAACTCATGTGTGACTGGTCTGTCTCTCAAGGAAGGGCTGAATACTCTGGCTATATACCTCTATGCTCTAACACCAGGAAGCAGCTTTACAGATATTGTTTCAAATTTTGATTTTTGAGCTTTTTAACTGTCAGAAAGGCAGCATAGGTTGCCAGAGCCCTCTCTCTCTCACATCTTGGGGTTAAGGATGGATGCCAAGTAAGGCATCCCCATGGAAGATAGGCAATGGCAGCAGGAATTACCAAGTCTCTACCAAAAATAGGAAGCAAAAGTTTGAGATCTCCAACATTCCATCTTGTGGACTCCTACATACACAAAGGAGCTAGGAGTACAGTGTTTGCCTATGAAACACAAAGTGAAGGTTTCCAGATTGAAACACAACTGCTTAAAGGATCAAAAGTTCTTTAATTGTCAGAAAAGGTTAGATGTCTGTTCTCACATCTGTCATGAAATAAAATACTGCCAGCAACTCAAATAGGATCTGCTGAGATTCATTCAGTGATGGTTCACAGATAAATTTCGGGAATTAGGTCCAACTGGAAAGTCCTGGATGGCCATTACTCAACTTAGTGTAAACCAGTATTTTTAATAATTAGGTTTTGATAATGCCACCAGATTGAAAGAGCTGAATATTTTATTGTTAAAGTGCCGGAATGGGAGAAGAGACCTCTGATATCCAGGTGTTAAAAAAGTGTATTTTTTGAAAAGTGGGATAGGAGCTTGGAGAATTTTCTGGAATATTTAGCTGTTTCTTGCAGCTCTTCCCTCTTCCCTCCCTGAACAGACTTTTTGTGAAAAGACAGAAAAGGACAGAAGCAGCACAAGAGACTCCCATGGAAGATTATGAGGCCTGGATCCTCCTAATCCCTGATAAATTTCTATATATGAGGCAGGATGATTACAAGATAAAAATCGCTTCTGGAAGAACCTTTGTGTATAATCTCATTTCCCTGAAAGAACATCAAGGAGGTAGTGAAAGCAGGCAGAATAAAAAAAATATTATGGAAGTCACAGTCAATACGTGTATATCTAAATCAATGACTTCCAAGTGAGTATGTATTACGTTTATAAGAATTATTGCAAACTGAATAAGTACTGACAGTTAGGCTTAGCAGGAAAAAAGTAGGAAAAGCTGTTTTAACTCCCTTATTTTTGCCATCCTAATTCCACAGGACAGCTGAATTTTTGAAGCAAGCCTTTAAGGTGTAAACTTTTTGATTATTCAGCCCTAGAGAATAACCGGTGAGGACCAAGAGACGGGGAGGGGAATCTGAGCATCTGGAAATTTCCCTTGCTGTTTCTACTTGAATGCCAAGTGTAACTTTCCATTGGGAGTTCACTGGGTTCTGCCCAAGTCTACAACCCTTTGAGTTTCCACAAATATTCCTCTCTATAAATGTGGCAACACGATGCCAGAAAGATTTCAGTTCTAGAAGCCAAAAAACCTTTTTGCTGGTTTAGGATGAAGCAATGTCTAAAAAGAAATGGGAGAATTGAAGAACACCTTTCCTTTAAAACAGTAAAGGGCACACAACCAAAAAAAAAATAAAAAATTAGCAAACTGTCTTGTACTAGCCTTTCAACATGCTCCCACCCATGCTTGTTTCTTTTTAAAGCAGTGGAGAACACTTCATACAATTCAATATTGTGGTGCTTGTTTTCTAAAGGTCGTTATCTTAAAACCAGTGGAAATGTGGGCCATTTCACATGTTAGGCAGGTGACTATCAGGATCTGTCATTGTTCCTTGGCATATATGAAATATTTCTGTTTTTTATGTTTATATTTCACAAGGTAGGTATACATCGAGGAATGTCTTGGGTGAAGTTGCAGAAGGTGGAAAGAGTGTTCCATTCTATCTGTTCCCGTAACTCCCATCCCCTTAAAAAGTTATGAAATATTTTTACAAATGTTGAGCAGAATACCAGGCAAGATAGAAGCCAGGAAGAATGACCACTGGATTATGATTTTGCCCGCCCTCCTTTTAATTTCTAAAATTTTTGGCCCACCACCCAATATTGATTGGTTGACTAGAACTAGAGGATAAGCATGATTTTAATCAATTGTTTACCACTAATACTGTCTACCCCTGTGCTTCAGATTTCAGATAAAGCATTTGCTGGCACAACTGCACTGAAGCACGTTCACATAGAGCACAACAAAATTTCCAGTCTTCCTAGGAGCTTTCCATTCAGCCGTCTTGAGACACTCTCCCTGTCCAATAACCCTTGGCATTGTTCTTGTCAGCTGGCACCTTTGCGCAGGTAAAAGAGCACTGATGCTCCCCATCTCACTAACTCCTCAAAAGTATGCCAGGGAGGGGAGATGGCAATTATGCTAATTAATGAGTTAATAAAGGGCATGAAGGGTCACACTGGAGATCTGCTTAGTCATGTGTTCTCCTCGGCGATTCTGAGGATTTCTTTCTTTTTTCCTTTAGGTGGCTGGAGTCTACTCGTTCTCGCCCAGATGCAGTCTGTGCATCACCTGCTCAGGCTCGAGGACAGCAGATTCGAGACACTGCTGCACTCCGCAGCTGCAAACTTCCCTCTAAGAGATCCAAAAAAGGAAATCGCCATTAAGCAGGCAATTGAGTTTTTCCTTTCCTGTTAAATACCTGTCAGCCCTTAGAGGTAGTCCAGACAAGAAGCACCAACCATGAGTACTAACACAACCTTTATTGTAAGGTTACAGTAATCAGATCTTGCAAGTCCCTCCTTGCCTTTACAGTCCAAGAAACTAGGGAGGGTCCCTTCTGAGATGTTTGCCATGCCCCATTGCTTCTGCTGGCTAAGCTGCCTCTTATCTGACCATTGCCCAGTCCCTCCCCCCCCTCCCATCTCTCAAGGACATTCTCACAGACCATTACAACACCTCACCCTGTTTGGAATGCCTTTCAACCATTGTTTCCCAAATAGGCATCAGCTGATCATACTCAAGGCAATTCAACTTTTATGTCAGTATGAATTCACCTGGTTTGTCTCCAAAACAAAGCCACAGACAAAAAAACCTAACAGAGAACTGAATTGACTGGTATGGGTCTTCCGGGCTGTGTGGCCGTGTTCTGGAAGTTTTGTTTCCTAACGTTTCGCCAGCACCTGTGACCCACAAAAGGGTCCCATCACCCTGGGCACAGAGAGAACTGCTCCTGTCTGTGCTCCTGCACTCTGAAGATGCCGGTCACAGGTGCTG